GTCATATTAAATGTACAAATTTGAGTGTTATTGATTTTCTCATCTAACTCTTAGCAAGAACACAAATAATCATATTTCCCCATCACATCAATTTGATTTAATTTAACTGATTTACTAACAATATTTTACGTTTTGGGTTATCCCACTTGTAACACCACAGCACACAGTCCTAACTGAATATTACATTTAACTCTGTATTTTACTGGTTCCCTTCAGCTACAGTATGACATACCATGATAAACTGACAGCACTTACATTTTTCTTACAAGTTTTCATAAAAGCATTCTGCCAAGTAAGTATCTGCTTGTTTGTGTCACGCTCAGGATGTACGCAGAGAAATGGCCTCCTTTGTTCCCATCTTATGGTCTAAGATCAGAGAGGGGAGGCAGTCATTTTCTGTTGTGCAATGTGAAACGCAAACTAACGCTCTGCACGAAGCCACTGACCAGACTGACCTTGACTTTTTGCTGCAACAACAGGTATTTGCATAACTCTGTAACATTTGCACTGACATCTGATTGTGCTGTGTGGCAAACTGTGTGATTTTGGGAAACAATTTGATAACCCCAAATTAAGATACATAGTTTCAGTTTCTCAGATGTTCACATTCTTTCCAGGCTGTCATGGATGGAGATGCGTCTGTTGAGGAACATGTTGAATCGCTCCAAGAGCTGTGTGAAACACTAACACCAATAAAATCCTCCAGCCTGGAAACAGACCAGCTGAGGGAGTCAGATGAAGCACAGGAAACACAACCCAGTGACACAGTGCTCCAATTTGACTGGTAAGATGATACCAAGGAGAGGCATCCTGAGGTGTATTATATTAACCGCATTTAAGAGGGAAATAGTAAGAGCACATATCTCATGTGGGTTTGTGTTATAACTGAATCCCAAATGGATCCATTTTCAATATACTGCACCTATCTGGACCACAGCAAGTCTAAAGATGAACTCACCCTGAAGAAAACTATATGATAGATATTTGTGTTGCAAAGCAATGTTTTAAAATCAATAATTTAACAAACCTTTCTTTCCGTAAAGTCCATCCCTAGTGCTGTAATGTATGTTGACTTATTGGAAGGTAGCACATTAAATGTTAGGAAGACATTCATTTGAATTGGCAAAAGTAGGACAGATATAGAACAGAATTTTGTGGCCTTGAATTTACCCTTAAATAAATGTTTAACTGAATTTGAGTTGAACTGAATAATTTAATTAAATCAGACAGCTTGTTTATGAACAATTGTCACTCTGTAATCCTTCAAGTCTATTAATCCTAATGAGGTGCCTGTAGGACTGAGTGGTTCTAACTGACTGAGCCCGACCACCCTCTGTTGAACATTTCTTAACTCAGCAGGGGACAGCAGCTCCGGGGAAACACCCCACTGAGAGCGACTGGCGTGTCGGCAGACACACAGCGGAGAAACAATCTCCCACAGAAACACAGTCAACAACAAGACCTCTCACCTGTGGGCAGTGCTGTGTCAGTGCAGCATCAGGGAGATGTCCTTCAGCTGGGAGCTCAGGATGTCCCAATGGAGAGTGAGGATGACCTGACACAGCGTAGAGGCCGTGGGTCGGAGAAAAATCTCAAGTCATCACTACGAGCCAAAGAGCACCCGCTGAAAGCTCGTCTACTGCACATCACAGATAGAAAGCAGCGAACCCAAACTCATACACAGGTATAAAGACACACTGACTGCTTTTATATGGATTTTTTCTCATTGTTTTTCATGATTTATTAAGTATTTTAGTACTTTTAGATCTTCAAGCTGCAGCTAGAAACAGCTATTTAAATGTTTGAACATGTGAACAACTTCATTTTTTTAGCTTTCAATTTTAGCTTACAAATCATGTAACCTGAAGTAAAAGAAAATAGCTTTAGGAGTAGAAGTGTGAGTGACAAGTGGTGAGTCCACTTTTCTTTTGCCACAATCTTTATGTAAACATTGCCTTAAAGTTTTGTGTTGTATTTTATAGTTTTTGATTTCCTAGGTGAATATGATTGACCACAAGTGTCTATACTCAACAGTAGATAATTTGAGCCAGTCAGGCAGGGAAAGCTCTATAGTCATAACTTCATGCTTTTATTTTAAATCCTTTTGCCTTCTTCAGGAACCTGATGCTGATATAAGACTGCAAATGTTAACTACCCTAAATTAATCCCATGCACATTGCATTTAAAGTGGCCTTTACTTAAGTCTTTCTGGTCAGAAAAGGGCTCAGCAATTTCATTGGCTTGTAGCTGACCTGTACAAGACACAGCAGCAGCTGCAGAGCACTAATCCTCAGTAATTGGATAGGCTTGCCGCTCCATCTTTTCCTCTTTTCTTCACTGGACCATTACTATGCGACTCTCCCATCTCCCAGGCAGTTGTCAGGGGCAACACTGTAGAGACCAAGCAGGAGGCAGAGTGGACCGTCATTGCAGAGGCAGCCACCCCACCGCAGGAAGAGCACTCAGCCGAACAGGAAGTACTTGAAAGGTGTGGGTTAATATCTTTTTTACATTTGTGTGTGTGTGTTTGACGAACTGACTGCATGTGAAATAAAGTTTCACCTTAGACTTGACAGATTAGCTCAGAAGAGCATAATCCAGAATTTAAATCTATAGTTTATTTGGCTTTAATGAAGTCTGCAGAATCTTTTAAAGTACCAGTTTTATACATTTTTTAAACAAAAATTGGGATTTTAGCGGAAATGTATTAGTTGAGTTGTTGCCTGTCTCACCTGTTTTATCTAATTTAAACAAAACAATTACCCCAAAGATATAACAGTCGGCCATGTACTTTGTTTTCAGTGTCGTGAAATAAGAATAAAAGACATTAAAGAGATCAACTTGATGTTCCCATGTAGCCTTTAACTCTCACAGAATGTTGTGTTGAAATTGTGCAAATCTTTCACTGTAGGTACAGAAAGTCCTGCTTGCTATTTCAAACTCAACTTCAGAAGAACAAGAAACTTTTGGAGGAGTTTATCCTACACCCAGTCACCATTTCCACCCTACTGAAGCAAAAGAAGCAACTACTGGCAAGTTGAAGCATCATTTCACCACTTTACATTCATGTTTAGCAATTATTTGATCATTAGAATGTCACCTTTTAAAATCATGATCTTGATGCAGATTTATCTGTGTATCACTTCTGATTCTCTGAATCTCCTACAACCTGCTAAAGAAACAACTGTTACGCAGTCATTTGTTTGTAAGGTCAAACTGTCGCTGCCATTACTTTGTAAATATGATTCTCCTCAACAGACTCTAAAACAGGAGACAGAGGCAGTATGGTTTGAGTTTGAGTTCCAGTATGCCCAGCTATCCCAGCGTTCCCATATGAAGACCAGGGAAGATGAGTGTGAAGTGAAAAAAGACTGGGAGCAGCTGACTCAGCAGTGGAGAGGCCAACAAATGTGCCTACAGAGCAGGTACAGTGCACCTCTCTGATTAATCTAAAGTATTTACCGATATGTTAAGATGTTAGCACATGTGTACCACTTATTCTTGCTGGTCATATTCACCAGTACAAACTTACATTTTTGACTGGTTCAGTGTCTGGCCACATAATAATAGTGTTATTGGATTTAGAAACATTCTTTACCTTGTAAACATCTCAACTCAAGGTCCATTTAGTAGCTGTTCCAGAGCTTTCAATCATATTACAAGATCTTTATCAGCAGATGGAGTTTGCCCAGTTGTCATGTAAACATAGATTTCTATTTTCTTAAGCACTTCTTGTCCACGTTGAGTTTTTATGCTTATTTTTGAACTTGGAATCAACTATCTCACTTTAAGGGCCATTTAGTAGCTGTTCTGGAGCTTACGATCATATTACAAGATCTTTATCAGCAGATGGAGTTAACCAACAACCATGTTCTAGTACTATACATAATAACAACTTATTCTAACAAGTAAGGATTATTTTACTTTGGTTTATGTCAGGCTGACATCTCTAGACAATACTGCAGTACTGATGAAGTCTGCAGATGACCAGATGGCACTGACCACAGAAAAACTGGACCGCATCCTCAAAGAGTCTGTGGACATCTCCTCCTTCACCTTAGCCGATCGTAGACTGTTATCTGATTTAAAGGTACACCTTTGCTTTTTTCAAAAGAATTAGCACTCATTCTGAGAGTGAATATTGTAATTAATCCCTCTTGCATTACCCAGGAGATGGATGACAGCCTGCAGTCTGAAATGAGAAAGCTATCAGAACGAGGCACTGAAGAGGAAAGACAAGGGCCTGGAGCCACATCCCCTTCACCCCTCTGCCAGGCTCTGCACAACAGTGTCCATCATCTCGAACAGCTCAGACAGCGGCTGGAGAAGGTTCAGTCGGCTGCCCGGGCCCTGGATCACTTCCTAGCCACAGTGAGGGAAGTCAAGGCCGAGATCCCAACGCTGCTGGCAAACCAGGACCCCAGCAGACAGCAGAATGAGGCAGACTGGGAGCAGGAGAAACACTCTTGGCAGGCAGCAATTCAGCAAAAGTTGCAGACTGTTGCGGAACAATCTGATAGTGTTGACAGCACTTTAAAGGCAGTGGGGATGACTCTGACCATGGATGGTGCAACAGTGGCGTGCCAGGATGTGGTGACATCATTGTCTCGGCAAACTGTTGATGTGGAGAAAGAGCTGATGAGAGCCAGGAAGAGAGAGAAGGGAGAGATGGGAAAGGAGCAAATCCAGGAGAATGATCAGTTGAATCCTGTGGAGATATGTCAGGAGACAAAGACTGATTCACCACAGGAGCAAAAGCATCCCACTCCAAGTAGGACGGAAGAGGAGTCAGGGATGGAAGCCAAAAGGAGTAGGCTGGAAGAAGAAAATGATAGAAAGGCACAAAGGGAGGAAGAGCACAAGGATCAAATGTGGAAGTCTGAAGAGGATGTCTTAAAAGCCAAGGATGAGAGAAGAAAAGGAAGCAGCAAGGTTAAAAAAAAGGGAGAAGAGAAGGAGAGTTTGGCCCAGAGGAGAATTGCTTTGCTAGCCGCACTGAGGGAGATAAGGGGAGCAGTGAAGCAGCTGGGGTTACACGAGCCCACCCTGCCTGCTTTACAACAGAGGTACAACACTGATCTGGGTCCAAAAACAAATCATTTTTAGTTTTTGTTCTTCCCTGGCTAGGATACCTGACTGATGACGGTTTAGTGCATCCAGTCAATTATGATTGACTTTTAGATATATTACTTTGATTACCTAAACCTTTTGGTATTTACTTTATTATCACAGAATTGAACATTTGAACATAAAGGAAAATAAAAAAGTATACATTACAAACTAATACATAATGAATATATTATATAATATATGTCTCTATCTTCTGGTTGCAGCTATATCATAAAGTTATGGAAATATTACAAACCTACGAGATGCAATGTCTCAAAATTAAAATGGAAATATTACAGTTGTATTATACATAATTGTAATGTCCAAGTATTTTCAGGTATTCCAGGTATGCTAAAGCAATAATAATTCTTGTCAAATGTCAGTTATTCCCATTTACCCCTCTCCTATGTTCCCCACTGTCCATGGGTGAGTCAGTACACTAATGATTGTTTCATCATTGCTGCAGGACGCGTGCCTTGACAGAGCTGGAAAGTAATCTTGCCCGACATCTCGCTGAGCTGCAGCACATACAGGATGCATCTTCACAATCAGGAATATCTGATGTGAGTCACACCAGAGAGGTGAAGGATGTCTGGGAGGAGGCGACAAAAGCTTTAACTGAACGGTAAAGAGAGCAGTTAAAGTCCTTTGTGATTTACAGCTTTGTCAGGTTAGAGTTCTTTGCTGACTTTGTGTGTGTTGTGTCATGGATCACATACAGGCTGGAGCAGTGTAATGTCCTAACGGAGCTGCTGAAGAGGTTTCAGAGCATTCATGTTGAGCTGAGTGGGACTTTGCAGAGGGCAGAAAGCACCATCAGTGAACAAGCCTCCTACATGGGAAAAAGCAACCTGCAGAGACTGCATACTAAGGCATACCACCCTGTTTAATTAAGATGATGAAGCAATATACACCCTTTTGGTGTGTGTAAAACTTGCCAAGAAGCACAGTCAACATAATCCAAATCATTTAATTTGTGTGTCCCTGGTAAATTCATTGCTTGGATTCTTCATTGTGACACCACATTTTGTGCTTGCTTATTTGTGTGTGGTTTCTCAGGTTCAGGAAACAAAAGCAGAGCTGAATGGGCTTAACAACGGCATAGAGGAGGTCCGCAGTGTCTGCAGGCAGATTCACACTCATCTACGTCAGATCCCAGAATGCACCCTCATCCCATATGAGAGTGAAGCAGATGCTCTCATGGACCGCTGGCTGGATGTGAGTTCAGTCACTTTATTTACACACACACATTTTTTTTTCTTGTGTTGGTGGCATATTTTCATTAATCAAAGGATTTGATATTTTCTTTGTTTTTTGTTTTTATGGCAAGCCAATACAACATTTTTCTTTTCCTGTCACAAAAAATGTGTGTTTTTTCATTATTATCTTGCGGTTTTGTGAGTTAATCCTAATCCTCCTTATTTTTTTACCTACCTAGATATGCTGGCAAAAATGTTTAAGTTTGGGCTTTCAAAAATATGTATTGTGGAAGAAAAATGTCTTCAAACCTCTCATTGTACTTCAGTTTCAGAGTAATATGCCTTAGTTGATATCTTTTGGGTTTTCCTGCAGATTATTGTATTAAGAGTGGATTTCTTACCTATTTACCTACTGTTATTAAAGTAAGATTTACTACACACATACATCTTCTCTAGACTGTTATCATTGCAAATATCTGATTTCTAAGGTCTTCTGTTGAGTTTTGCTGTTTGTTTTATGTGTTTATTATTGCAGATATCAGAAAGAACAGATTCCCACATTGAAAACTTACACCTTGGCCTGAGTCTGTGGGATGGCGTCCTCAAGCTTGGAGCAGAGGTAGAGAGCTGGACCACCAATAAACTAGCAGTATTTGCTCAGTCTCCATCCTTTCAAACAGAGGAAGACATCAGGACCTTGCAGGTAAAACTATTCTTCCTGTTTCATTCTCTACATTTCCACAGTTGCTTCAAACAATGATCATCTCCCTCTAACTGTCTCCTAGAATGAGATTGTGTCCCAAGAGCAGAACATGGAGCGTTTCCACCAAAGAGCCACTGAGATTCAGGCACTGCTTCAAAGCCCAGAGCCTCCTGTGGAGCTGCAGGTACAGCATGTGATTTAGTTTTCTGTTTTAGATGTGTGTGAAATAAAGCTGCTGGGATGGACAGAGAGAGTATATAAATATAGTTTTGGTTTAAATTTCAACCCAAGTCTAGTTCAACTTTTCAGTTGTATAATGACAGGAGACATTTTATTGTTGAAATAATAACATAATAATAGGTTTTGGCGCCTTGCTGCAGTACATTATGGCTGACTCTGTGACTTTTGAAACTGTTAGGTTGCACTTTATTGGTCAGTTTATGGTTGAAAGCCAAGAACAGATAAACTGAACTATTAATGCTGATACTACTGTGTATGTGCGTCTTTGGCCAGCATGAAAAACAGAAAACTAACAGTGATGAGATGGAGCTACAACAGGTCTCTTGATTGACTTTGTTTTGTTTAGGTTGTGGAGACCCAGACGAGGAAGAAGATACAGCAGCTGAAGGAGCTTAGTTCTGAAGCTGAGGATGTTTATAGGCAGATAGTGGCTACTAAAGGACAACTTACTGCCAGGATGGCTGAATGCTTTAACTCCCTCCAGAAGATTCAGGAGTCCCTCCTCACACTCAGTGGTTCAGATGTTGCAACAGTCCTGGCAAAACTAAAGGTGAGTGCTTAAATGAGATATATTTGTACATAAAAGGGCCTCTTACCTTACCTGCAGTATGTAAGATTCTGTATATTGGGTGTATTTGCTTACATTTTGGTATCAAGTGGGTCACTTCCATTCACAGAGGAAGTGAAGCCGGTGCAACCACAGCTGTATTTGTTGTTGTAATTTCCTTTTTCCTGATATCTTGGTTGTGAAGTCTCAAGTTAAAAATGTTACATATTCACACGTTTCCTACACTGTATGGATTTCATTTTAGTATTCCCCTGGTCTAGATAAGTATGGTAAAAAAAGAGAGTATGAAAAATATTTGTGTCGCACTATTTTCTCTATTTTCTAAAATATAAAGTTCAAAATTTCTCTTTTTTATTATCAACTCAACTCAATTTTATCAACTAAATTGATCATACAAGCAAAGTGTTTACGCAGAGCTGCCTGTGCGTCCAAGCCTGCAAAACAGCTCTGTCTGCCTTCAGTGCTTTCAAATTAGTTTGAAAGAAAATGCAGCAAAATCTATATATATATATAGAAATGGCATATTGTGCAAGTAAAAATGTCCGACAATACAAACAATTTCTAGTAACAAAACGTTTTTATCCAAAAATCAGGAAATCTGAAGTCACTGAAGTGAGTCTTCTAACCTTAATGTGATCTATAGTGGTGGGATATAGTGTCGGCCATGTTTGAGTCCAAATTTCTGTTGATGGAGCACCTCCTGCTTAGGAAATGATTTGTATTTTGAATAAGTGTTTGTTTTGAAAAGATTTCTATAATGACATCAGCTCAATTTGGGCCAGTGAATTCAACCAACTGAACTGTAGATAAGAGTATTTTAATGCCACTATAATAGAACCTGAAACAAATGTTGTAGTTTTTTTATATTTGATTGTATGCTAAAGTTTGACAGTGAATTTAGTGTTCATGTAAATGTTTCATGTGGCCACATTAGACATTTGACAGCTGATGCTTTAAAATGCTAATCACTCACAGTAACTCATTTTCCTCTACAGGATCTACTTTTTGAGCTCCAGACCCAGGATGAGCAGGCAGAGAGTCTGCTGGAGGATCTGCGTGTCATGTCCTCCATAGTGAGTTCATCCAGCCTGCAGAGTTTGTCTGTAGATGGGAATCAGCTGCGGGATAAAGTCAGAAACATGCATCAGCTCTTCTCTGAGGTGGAGGAACAAACTGAGAGGAATATCCAGGACCTTGACAGGTAAAAGACATCATGCTTAGATATTTCAATTCATAGAATGTGCACAGATTCACACATCTGCAGTGAAATGGTGATTGTCTCTTCTCAACCATGTAGCATGCACACACACATCAACGTAACACACAACATTTATACATTACAGTAAGGGCATAAGAGAGCTGCTGGGCAGGTATTTCTGGAGTTAAGATGCTTTCTGTTTCTTTGTCTTTGCTTGGGCATTTGCATAAAGAAACAAAGCAGGCAAGGCTAGACTTTACCTGACTGAACATAGAAACTAATGAGTCTGAAAATGTGAGAAGGAAAAGTTGTGTTAAACTATAAACATCATACATGTCATTACTCAAAGTAATTGATTGTAATACTTTTTTCCCTTTTTTCTCATTCTAGTGTTTCTAGTGTTTAGTTGGTTTCTAAATTATCTTCAGCTTAAAAAGTGGTTTCTACGGAAGCCGAGAACGGCCATGGATTTTTTTTTTATGCACTGTTATCTTTATAACGACTTATAATTGTATCTCGACTAACAGATCATATCTCGTATTGATTAATTAATAATGTGTTGCCTTATTTAACTAATTGCGCTTGCACGAACGACTTCTGCACTTACCGGTCGGCTTAAGCTACGGCCAGTGCTACGGAAGCCGTCGCATTAGTGTTAAAGTCAAAGACGAACACATATTAATAATGTATCAGAGATAACATCTTTTTATTGTCAAGATAACGAAATAATTAATTCGTATCTCGAAAAACAATTTCGTTATCTCGAGAAAACAAACTTTGTACAAGAGCTGCCACGAACTTCCGTACCACTGCTGAGTTTAGGCTAACGTAAATACACTTTTACGTTGGTTTGTTTACTTGATTGGAAGCGTTGTGGCAGCTCTTGTAGGTTGAAAAGATTGAAACATTATGAATTAATTAATTATCATGAGGAAAACGATCTTTGTTATCTCGAGATAACAAGATAATAAGTCGTTATCACGATATAACAGTGCATAAAAAAAAAATCCATGGCCGTTCTCGGCTTCCGTAGGTTTCAGAGTTTAAAATAAAATTTTAAGAGATTTCAGGAAATGAAGAGAACAAAATGTTACAGTTTTTCTTTGGTATAATAATGTATAAATATATTGAATATTTACACGAAAAAAAATACATAACTCAACTTAATATAAAGGTTGGCAATATTCTATGTTTTTGTTTTTGTCAACAAATCCGATGAAAAGACCAAATCCAAGAATGGGCTGATCTGTCTCTCAGTACTTTCTGTCATCCCTGGGGTGTCTTTGGAATTTAGCCGAAGTCCATTAGTTACAAATGAAGTTGTGCAATAATGCTTTAACAGCAGGTCATACATATATATTGGCATTTTTATACTATAGTTTTTGTCAATGTTTGTGGGATTGACTTATATTAAACTACAGTGCCGGTGTCCTTTGTAATTAAGGAACATGTCAGCGCAGTGCAACAGTGTGGCTCATTGATTTGTTTTTAATACTTTTTTGAGAGCAATAGAGGTCTAAAATGGAACAGAGGAATAAGGTATATGAGTGGTTTTGTAATATTTTTGGACCAAAAAACCGAAAACGGACTAGGGATTATGAAAAACTTTCAAAAATAGATGTATTCACAACATCAGAGATGCAAGTTTGAAATCTTGGTCAAGGATTTTTATGTTGGAGCAAAGCAGGCAGAGTCAGCTGGGCACGCAGCAGGAAAACAGACGAGACACTGGACAGAGCAGGCGGACTGAACGATCTGCCAAAGACTGGAGTGAAGAAAAAGAATATACTGCAGAGGCTTGTTAAGTGGATGAGTCACAGGTCTGCAGGTGACTGGCAACAGGCGTGAGACTGGAGCACCACGCCCAGACAAACACACAAACACACAGACACAGAGAGATAATATACAGGGGACAAACTTGAATGAGGAGGCACAGCTGGACCATGACAATATGACACTTTGGCTATACAGGCAATACTTGTTCGTAGGATGAATTTCATTGTTGGTTTTGGTCTTTTTGTGTGATTTGTTCACAGTACAGGAAAATACAGAATGTCACCACTTATCCTTTAAACTATATAATAGACACAAGCAACAGTCTACAGTACAGTTCAAAATCAGTGGGACAAGTTCAACTTGCTTTCTGAATTCTACAACAGAGCTATTTTCTCACTGTGACGTCACTTTAATATACAGTGCATTGTCTACACTGTACATATGCATATATGTGCCGTGCCTGCATTCATACTGCATATGTGTTGTAGGCTGCAAAGGGAGAGTGAGCATTTGGAACAATGGTTGCAAGCTGTTGAAGAAAAAGCAGCGAAGGAGGAGGATCTTAGTCTCCTACAGGAGGAAGCACTTCAACAAAGGTAAACTGATTTCAGATATATGCTGTCCAGCTGAAAATAAGCAAATCTTGTATGAAGGCCCTGAGGTCAAGAGTTGTCAGTTGTCAGGCAGTGTGCAGGATAATATATATTCTGTGTATTTAGTTTATGGGGGACTACAGTTGATATTCTCACTAGATGATTTTGGAATTCTATCCTTCATTTTTGTATATTTATTGCGTGTCATGTTTTGTATATTTTCTTTGTACTAAAAAAAGAGATCTGCAGTAGACAGTTTAATCAAGTACACAGAAGGCTGTAATACTGTTGCTTGAGGTATAGTTAATACAATACAACCATGTAACCCTGATTAAACACATTGGAAAGGTACGGTCTAGAGCCCACCGCAACACTTTATTAATTAAGTATAGGTGAATTTATTTTGTTTTCTTCTTGTGCACCCTGGAGAAGGTGCAGGTTGTAGAAGGTTTTTTCCCTCTCTACTTATTTACCATGTTAATATGTCCTTGTTAACCTGACAAAGTCAATTTTAGTTCCCGTCACTAACATTTGTGTAAATAATGTTTAACTGAGCATTAACACTGTTTTGTCCCTCTGCAGGGTGAGAACAGAGGAAATCAGTCAGCTTGTGTCATCCTTACAACGCAGCACACTTCAACAGTCTGCTCTGGTGGAAGAGAGCAACAAACTGCTGGAACGATACAACAACTTTCAAACCAACATACTGCGTGGCTCCAAAGAGAAGAAGAGCTCTCTGAGCAGAGACATTGAGGTGTTTCAGACTTCCTAACTCCTATATCTTTTATTTTGTTTCATGTAGTTGTAAACTGGCAGTTGTTACAGTGGTGTCTAATGCCATGCAAGGGTGTGGTCACACAGATCTATTCTTTCTTTTCATCTACAGTATATTTGTTTCTACTTGTTCTTCAATAAGGAGTACCGATTTGTTGTTGTTGAACATTTTGGAATGGCGGATTTGTAAACCAGATTAAAGAAAGAGACACTCCTCAGTCCGAGCAGTGACAAACTGGGGTCCTTGCTTTGTGAAAGAGTTAAATAACTAATCTGTAAAAATATTTTTCAGGCTGTGGTGAGTGCAACAGAAGAAGGGGTGGCTCACCTTGAGGAGTTTAGAGTTAATGGAAATAGTCTGAGCCACAGACTGTGTGATGGAAGCCTGAAACAGGACATTCAGCAAACGGAGGAGCAGTCGAGGGACCTTCTCCACTCAGTTCAGCCTCATCATAGGTGAGTGGAGCCAATGTGCCAAATATTTGGTGAGCATTACTATGCAAGTATTTATTCATGTTATATATTTGCCCTTAGCAGGCCTACATAATGCCTGTTTTAAAATGCTTGCTGCTTTATTTGTTCATTCACACGAGCATCCAGTGAGTTTAATTCAATGCGGCAACTCTCAATGACTGCTGCTAGTCTCTTCAGCACTTGTTTATATCTCCAGGTTTATTGCCCCTATTGGCCTGGTTGTTTTAGACCCTGATAGAATGTGCCAAAGTGAAGCCTAAACATAAAGGACATGGGTCCTTTCCTATCTATCCTCCCCAAAATCCAATCCCAAGATTTTGGGGAGATGGACACACATTATAAGTTGCTCCCAGCATGAATCTAAGTTTCTTCTTTTTCCGCACTTTCCCAACTCATCCACCGGCATTGCTTTGTCGGAGAGATTTCTCTCGCATATCTAGCAGCCTCTTTTCGCCTCTGAAATTCCCTTATCAGTTTCCTCCTCCCATGATGTTGCTTTGCTCCATGTATCCTGTGGTATGCTGAGTTTCAATGCTCCACTCCCATACTGTACCTTTCCTACAATATTTCAATGTCTAAGAGTTTCCTGAGCCTGTGAATCTGACTCCCTTGGGTTCCACTTCGTCCCTGCTTGACATTGGCACTGTACTCCATCCTGCTATACCCCTAGATTCTTACAACATCATATCCAGGCTTGCTTTTGCACATTTAAACTCCTGTTTAAACTGGTTATAGGGAGCTCCAAAATCCCTTTTCCATATAGGGCCACAGTGCTGAGGCTCCCAGCTACTTTCTAATTTAAGAGCTAATCATTCTCTAGCTTTGCTACCTTGAAGTAGATACATCATACACCTTCAGGGGCGACAGTAATCATGGTAGCAGCCCAAACTGCAGGTATGACAGTTTGAGTTTGCCTGGAAGGCCAAGTGTTTCCATAGGGTTAGGGTTAGGGTTAGCCTATCCTATTAGACATCCACTACCTACAGTCTTAATCCCTGGATCTGCTCCTTATCACTAAGAACAGCATCATACCATCTACATAACTTTTAGCCTGCTCCTCCTCATCTATATAACCCTCTTACTTGAAAGCACACCCCTTTACAATTGAAATACCCCTTGATTTCTTTGGTTTAACCTTCATCATAGCCCACTTGAAATTAGCCTTCACTTTATCCAGCAGCCTAGCAGGATACATGATAGGACTGTTTTAGTGATGGTTGTCATGTCATGCATGTACTCCTTTATAGGTGGGTAAGCTGCCCTCCCTGAAATCCCCCTACCACCCACTTAAAAGCCCTAATAATAACCTCCATTGCCAATATAAAAACAGTGAAATTAAGTACTGCATGAGGTCTGAATGGTCTGTTAAACTCCTTTTTTTGTGTCCGTTGATGCCTCAGTGTCACCCCCTGCTACCTGGCCCAAAGACAGCAGGCCTGCAGCAGAGTGGAGGAGCTGAAGCAAAGAATTGCTCAGCTCCCCACTTTATTCCCCTGGCCTGGCTCAACTGAGCGCAGACAAATCTGCCTTCAAGTCAGTCAACTGCAGGAGGAGACTGAATCCCTGCAACTGACTCTTACCAGCCTGGCTGAACAGAGGAGGGAGCTTTCTTTGGATGAGCTGGAGACCTGCTGGTCCTCACTAATGACAGAGCTGAAGGTAAAATCTTTCATGTTTAATTGATAATCATAGTGGGGTACACTGATTCCCAGCCAAACATAAAGGATGAAACAGCTGAAATATTACCAAAACATTATGAATAAACAGGTTAGCTAAAAGAAATGGAGAACAATGAAATAGTTTTAGTAAGTTAAAAAATGTTAGCTAACATAAATATATAAATGGTTTAAAGAAGAAGAACTTCTGTCATGTGTCTCTGTTTGGATTACATAAAAACTAGTATGTATGTTGACCTAGTTAGCTAGAAGTAATGGATACACCGGTGGAAAAAATACCTAAAATGATAGATTAACTGTCACAAAAGTTAAAGTAATGGATAAACACTTAAGTAACCACAAAAATGATTAGATAAACAACATGCTCATTAAAAGCTAAATTTGCTAGGTTGGGTCGATGAAGGGATACTTGAGCTCATTTGATAGGGATGATAGGGATCACAATAAATCTGAAATGGTAAGCCGTCTGACTGTGGCTTGGTGTGCCTGAAATGTCCACAGGGTGTGTGTTCCCGCCTCGAGGAAGGTGTGTGTAATGAGGAACATTTTGGCCAGTTACTGCAGGACTGCCACCATAAATTGACATCCCTGCAGGAAAGGATGTCAGCGTGTCAGGCCCAGAAGGAAAGCTCAGCTGGACTGATAACTGATGTACCAGCTCTGGAGGTGAGGTCCATTAAGTAAACTGACCCAGTGAATCATGTACAAGTTCTCTTACATTTTTATTTCATATTACTTTTGCATTAAACCATGAAAAAGACATTTTAGGGGAGAATTTACTTACATTATACCACCTATATTGCATTTCTATTTAGAAGAGCACACAAAATGTTTAACTGTCACTCTCTCCGCTTTTCAGGCTTTGCTACAAGAAGTGACAGAGATAGAAAAAAACCTTTTACAGATTGTAACACTTAAGGACTCTATCACAGCCAGTTCCACGGCCGAGGCCCAGGCCAGCCTCTCCCAGCAAGTGGGCAACCTCCAAAACCACAAGAGGGCACTAGACAGTAGCATCAGAGAAAATCTGGCACTGCTCACAGAAACCGGCAACCAGAGAGTTGAACAAGTGGAGGAAGAGGTCTCCTGTGTACAGATAGCAATAAAAGACCTGGCTGAAAATTTGGGAAATCTGTGTGAGAACCGTGAAGTTTTGCCTGATATCAGCCAGCTCAAACTGCAGTGGTATACACTACAGGTATTGTTAAAGGATCCTATGAAATGTGGCTTTATCCCTGAATAATAATATAACAAGTTCACAGATCTTAAACACTCTCACATGAGAGACCAAATCATCAAAGACGCATTTATATCTCTCTCAGGATTGTGATACCAGGCTAACAGAATTGTCTATGAGAGTCAACAACCTGCAGAAGACTGGAGAGTCGAGCATCACACAAGAAACGCCCCCCAGAGGTGTCCTTTTGACTGTTGATGCAGTTGCTAAAGACCTTGACAGGTACTTAACCTAATTTCTCATTTAAAAAACGGAAAAGTTACATTTGTCACATTGATTATCTTCCAAATGTTTATACACAAGATCCATGGATACATTTAACTTAAATGTACTATTTGCAGCGTTTTAAAAGAACACTGGTATAATTATATGCTCTATATATATTTGATCACAACACTCCTAAAATGATTATTTGTTCTCTCTCTCATGTTTTTACTGTAGCCTCAGGTCTAGTTTTCTACAAAAGAAGCAGCAGTGTGTAGAAAACACTGCTAACAGGGTGAGACAGGTCATCAGCCAGCTGCAGGATTGGAGCCAAACAGTACAAGCTGAACCGTCATCACCCAGCCAGGTAAAACAAACAAATGTGTCTATCCATTCAAACCCAGAATATTAACAAATATACACATTTATATAACAAGTTTAAAAAAGTAACAATGACTAATTTCCTTCTGTCCTTTTTTTGTAGTAGTAGTAACTTGTCTTAATATTAAATGTATTTGCAATAGATGTAATGAAGCCATAAACTCAGCCAACAAACTTACCTATTCTATTCTTTTCCTGGTTCATCTCTAAATAGTTTTTCTTCATACTTTCTCTCTTGATTTCTACTAACAATGCAAATCTGTGAAAACAGATCACAACTATATAGTGTTATTTTTGAAAAAGGTTAATTCATTTCCTAGAACAGCTGGGAACTTTTAGCAAATATTCCTTTAACAGGAGTAAATCATACATTTGTTGGGGACTACTTGACGTCAACAAGAAAAATATAGTGTAGCCAGCCCTATCCTTTGTTATAAAGTTGTAGTATATACCGATTAGCCATAACATTATGACCGCCTGTGGTCAGCAGTTTAAGCTACAGTAGCTTGTCTGTTAGATCGGACTACATCTTCACTCCCCACTTACATCAGTTAGCCTTTGCCACCCATAACCCTGTGGCCGGTTCACCGCTTTTCCTTCCTTGTACCACTTTTGATAGGTACTGACCACTGCAAACTGGGAACACCCCACAAGAGCTGCAGTTTGTAGATGCTCTGACCCAGTCGTCTAGCCATCACAATTTGGCCCTTGTCAAAGTCTCCCAAATCCTTACGCTGCCCATTTTTCCTGCTTCTAACACATCAACTTGAGGACAGAATGTACAGTTGCTGCC